TTCCTTCCAGTTCAGGGGTCTTTGTGGTTGGAAGTAATGCTCAAACTCTTGGAAGCTGAGATAGGTGATCGTGCACCAGCTGGGAGAATGAACGTTCCTGGCTCAGTCTTTTTCAAAATCTCTACTAATGTTTGGAACATGTCCAAATGCCGGTGTTCACTTGTTGCCTCCATAATCCCAGTTTGGCTTGAATGCAGTCACTTTATCTGCTGACTTGAAACCCAGTTGTCATTCTCCCTTGAGGTGACAGATGGAGTTCATTGAACAGGTTGAATATGTGTCACAGAGAAGCAAGTTTTGTGACTCATACTGTGTCACTGAAAGGTGCACCAGTGGTGATTGTCTACGAGCATCTTTGGAGCAGCTCTGCGTAATCAGAAACCTGCCATGTTCTCCCTTTAGGAAGCCTCTCACTTCTGTGAAGAAAGACACGTGGCTCTGCGTCCATCTCCCACAGAGCTGCGTGAACAGATGGAGTTAAGGGCATGCACTTAATTGGTGCGAATTTGAATCACATCCTGCACGATTTGTTTAGTTCAGTGACACTCTTTCGGCTAGCAGCATTTTCCCGTGGGTGGCACGGTGCGTAGACTCACGTTCAGAAGCAGCCTCCGTGACCGAGTAGTGGAACCAGAAAAGCCCCAGTCGTGCGGCCGTCTGTCCATGCATGTACGACACAAAATGACCAATTCAGTTTCCTGATTTGCCATCATTCAAAGACTCGAATCGTCTTCATGCTGTGTGTTGCGCAACAAATGTGATAACAATCGTCATGCACATTGTCTTAAAAGAATGTATCACAGCAAGCATTTGCCTTATTGTCAACATCCGGTAGACTCGTCACCGCTGGATTGATACCATGGTGGGCTCACTAAAATCTCTCTAAGTTGTGCCTCAGTCTCTCCTCATCAGGTCAGGTCAGTTATAGTGCTAGCCGAAAGAGAGCCATGTGCCGCCTTTCGATCTGCAGCCTCCTGAAACCAGACGGCCTCAGCAGCAGCAGATCCTCTCACCCAGAGGCAAGGGCTTCTTACTTAGCGATGCAAATAGCCACTGGAGTCCTCCAGCAGACACATTGGGATGAATGTGGTGCCTTCGATAATTGTTCGTTCTTTGTGTTCATGTTATTTTTTTTGAAAACTCCAAAGCTTGTCTTTAATAAGGCGCCTTGTCTCCATGTTATGAAGCGTTTTTAGTTGTGGTTTTGTTTTTGTTTTTTTTTCTTGAACAGAGAGTCTCAACTCTCTTGCTCGGCTAGAGGGCAGTGGGTGTCAGACTAGCTCACAGCAACCTCAAACCCTGGGTTCTAGCAATCCTCCTGCCTCAGCTCAGTGCTGGGACTTAAAGGCACGACACCACCATGCCTGCTATTTTCTATGTTTTAGTTGTTTGGCTAATTCTTTCTATTTAGTTAAGATGAGTCTCGCTTTGCTCAGCTGGTTCTTGAACTCCTGAGCTCAAGCAGTCTCATCCACCCGGCCTCCAAGTGCTAGGATTAAGACGTGAGCCTCGCCGCCCTGGCCAGTTTTTCAGTTTCTGAAGTTTCCAAATGGCTTTGGATCCAGTGTCCACGATTATACAAAGCGATGCTTGGAAATTATTCAATTGTTGCAATGACCTGTGATTTAAGTAGGACCTTGGTATTTTCTTCTTAAATGCACTTTCATTTGTTGGCAGCGTGAGCTTGTGCTGTCCACATTGGCTTTCCATGTTTACAAAAGACTCTCCAGGTCGGCTCGGTGCGTCCGCTGTAATCCTACACTCATGGAGACAAGGCAGGTGATTGCTCAACGGTCAGGAGTTCAAAACAGCTGAGCGAGATCCCCCCCCCCCGTGCTCTACAAAAATAGCAATAAGTTGACCAATTAAAGTAATATGAAAAAATAGACTGGCATGTGGCGCATGCTGTGAGTCCTACTAGGAGCAGCAGGAGGTTGCTTGCCAGAGAATTGGCTGAGCGTGGTGTGAAACGGACGGCACTGCGTACGTGGGAGCGAGCAGAGTGAGAAGCGTGTGCGCGCAAAGAAAGAGAAAAGAAAGGAGGTGCCGAAAGGCGAAGCCGCGCGAGGGAGGCAGTGGTGTACCACTTTCTAGGGTTAGCCTGGGAGGCGTACCAAAAAAAGCGGGTAAAAAAAACTGTTGGAACAAAAAAAAAAAAAAAAACAACAAACCGAAAAAAAAAAAGGCGGGAAAAAAAAAAAAAAAAAAAAAAAGCGCGCCGGGGCGCAACGTGGCGCCGCGCGTCTGTGAGATACGTGCCCAGTGCGGGAAAGAGGCGTGGGTGGTAAATAAAATAATGGGCAGGCCGTGTGTGACTAAAAGCTAGCAGCTGTGGTGGAGTTGTGACTTAAAGCCTGCCACAGAGCAGCCCGGGTGTACACGATTGAAGTTATCGCAATCGCTTGCCACTCTAAAGCCTGCCAGCAGATGCAGCTTAACTGTCTCTTGCCACTCAACGTGATAGGTATGCTGACATGATGGTCTGCAAGCAGTTGATTTATTATGGTCTCTGTGCAGTCAGACTTCTCTGCTAACGACGGTCTGTGTTTGCAGCCAGTCCCCAGCGCCAGCGTCACCGCCTCAGCTCCACCTCAGATCATCAGGCGTTGGGATCTTCATACAGAGCACAGCCTAATCCCTCCCGCGCGCCATTTACAGTACGATCTGTGCTCCTGCGAATCAGATGCCACCGCTGATCTGACAGGAGGCAGAGCTCAGGCGATGGTGCGAGTGATGGGGGGTGGCTGTGAACACAGACGGGGCTTCACTTGTCGCCTGACGACTACCCTCCCTGCTGTGCAGCCTGGTTCCTAACAGGCCAGGGACGGTTACTGGTCTGTGGCCCAGGGGTTGGAGACCACAGCTTTAGTCTATGGAGGCACCTGAGGAGCACTCCTTCAGGAGTCCCACAGACTTCAGGTTGGAAACCCATGCTGGCAAACAGCAGGTGTGGAGAAAGCAGCAGCAGGCAAAGGACAAGCCTGCCAGCAGTGAGCAGCGCCTTCCCAAGCAGAGCAGTGTGGCGCCGTCGCCTAGTGAGCTGACAGTTGTCTACAGACATGACCCTCCAGCCAACACTGAGTACCACTGCTTGGGGCACCAGTTGTATTAATTTGTGCCCACAGGGTTTAAATTTATAGCAGTGACTTAAGTGACGACACGAGAAAAGTCAATAGCATAGGAAAGAGAGAATTTATGATGTACAGAGAACACGGGCATGGCACCATATTCAGGGCCTCGTGGAGAAGCATCAGGAAGCGGGAGGGAGGGAAAAGCACAGGCCACAGGCATTATCCGGGGTTTCTTCTGGAAAGGCAGGGCAGGGGATGGTCAGTGGTTTAGGATTGGCTGATTTGAATAATTCTAGTGAGCTTTGGCGGTGTGGGGCTGTCCCTAGTTGTCTGGCACCTGGCAGTGGGTTGATTTAGGGCAAAATGCTGCGTTGGTATGTGAAAGTTGATAAAGGAAGTAAGTTGCGTGGGTATGGTTTTGGACTGGGTGGTTTGCACATGAAAGGCATGTGCTTGTTCCCAGGGGAGTTGTTTCTTATCCTGGGGCTCAGCTAGCCTTGAGATGGGCAGTTTCTCCCAAAGTCTGAAAAGCCTTCAAGATGTTAAAACATGAAATACAGAAAATTATTGAAAAACATGATTGATATACCTGTCCTCGGCAAAGTCAGGGAAATAAGACCATTGCGTAGAGTCTGTCGTGAACCTAAACTTAACTCTGTTTAGAAGATGCTCCTTCATTTATGAAGCTACCTGTGTGGGGTTTTTATGTTGTTTTGTTTTTGTGAAGTAAAATCCTCTTTTTGTGAAATGTTGATGAGAATAGATGGTATTTGATGTTTCTGTAAATGTCCTTAAGTAACCACATCACCGTGGGACTGCGCGTTTGTAAATTTTTAATGGTTGATGAAATGCCTTGGTTTGGAGACACTGAGCCTGCTTCCTGCCACTGAGCATGGATCTTCCAGGTCCCGTCCATGCCTCATATCACCTACCACTTGCTCTCTGCGATGCTCGCAGTTTCCTTCTTAGCGTAGTGCTTGAGAGGCCAGGATCCGGAGCCAGACCCCCAGTGTCCAATCCCAGCTCTGCTGCTTAAATCTTGTGGCCTTGGGCAATTACTGAAGTATCTGTGCCTTAGTGTGTTCACTGGTCAAATGAGCAATTGTCCAATCTTCCCAGGGCTGTGTCCAGGGTAAATGTGTCGCTGTATGAAAAGGGCTCAGAAGAGTGCCTGGGAGACCAGGGTGTGTGCAGGGGGGAGCCCTTGGGATTCCTGCTGCCCCGATACTGTTGTCATCCTCATCACTATTACCATGGTGGTCAAGCGTGGATGGGGCACGATCTGGGCATTGTTGTGGAGCTTTGTGTTTAAGCAGCACAGAGAGCAGAGATGCCAACACCTGGCTTTCCTCATTGGCTCGGCCACTCACCAGTTCTGTGCTCTTCAGGAATCACTTTAAGCCTGGTTTTCTTCATCTATAAAATAGTATTGATAGTGGTATAGACTTCCTGGGGATGCTTTGAGGGAATCCTCAAGTTGGATCCTCCATTTATTCCACGGTCTAGAGGAAGAGTGCTATAAAACATTGCTTAGGATGTGGAAAAGGATGGGATCAATGAAGACACATACCTTATTTTGAATGAAATGAGTCAATATTTGAAATATGTCAATTTTTCTCTAAAGTATTCCATAAATATTATTCAATTTTGAAATGACATAATGCATTATTTATATTGCTTGGCACAGTCCCTTGGCGATGGTTCTATCCTGTAAATACTAGCTTTTGACTTGCTATCGAGAGTAAAGCTTCCATGGCAGCATAGCGTGACATGCTCTTGGTTTCTGGGTCACGTAAGAGTTTTTAGTTTGGGTGGATGGGAGCAACTTCATTCCAAGGTCTGATCCTCACCCTGAAGTCCCAGACTACATGGAGGGTCTTTTTTTCTTTTCATCAAAATCATGTGTCTACTTTCTTTCTCCATGAACAGGTTGTCCCATTCCCAGATCTGAGCTGATCTACCAGCTAGAGTATGGGCAGGAGCCGTGGACAGTAAGAAAAAACCTCTCTCAAGGACTCTGTCCAGGTAGGAACTACAGTCTAGACAACTGGGAGGCCCTGTATGCTTGAGACTGGGAGGAGATCACTGGTCCTGGAATCTCAGGGAAGCTTCTTGTTGTGGCCTCTCTAGGAATTGGCAGCCCTGGAGCCCCTTCAATGTGGTCCCTCTCTTCTCCCAGCCCCATCTCACATGTCTTAGCCCCCTGGGGAGGAGTGAGATTGATGAATTGAGGTCTGTCTTGGGGCTCCAAGTGCTTGGGCCTGAAACCTGGCTTGTCCATCACTGGCCCTGTGGCTCTAGTGAAGTTGCATGATCTCATGTCTTTGTATATATTTTCAGCTAAGTTAACACTAGCTGCGGATGCAGACAAACTCCAAAATCCAAGTATTTCAACATAGGAAAAGGGCCTTTCTTACTCTCCCAATTTGTCTCTCTAGCTATATCCTTCCTACCACCGTTTTTCTCTTTCTCCATCAGCCCATTCTCTGAGTGTCAGTCAGACACTGAAGCAGTTTTTACTCATGTCTTCCTGCATCTCCTGTTTTGTAGAATCTGTTGGTGACATTTGGCCTTCTCTGTCCCACATCTGGACTTCTGAGGGCACTGAGGCTGACTTGTGTTGGTTGGTGCTCCTGCAGAGTCATGATCTCTCTTCTGTGTTGGTCCACTGAGCCAGCCTGTGTTTTTGTGCCATCTCTCTCCAGCTCTTCAGAGTCTGTTCTAAACTTTCTCCCTTCTTCCATTCTACATCCCAACTTTTGTATATCAGAAGCACCTAAACTCTCAGGCTGAACAAGAAACTCATGATCTCGCTCACTTCTTTCACCTCACAAGTTATTGAATGGTCCTGCCATCCAAGCAGGGTAGAAGACTGGATCCAGCCTGAGATGACTCATCAACACCTACATTTCCATCAGTCCCCACATCCAGCTATCCTCAAATCCTGTCCATTTTACATCATGCACGTCTTATGAATTCATCCCCTCCACCATACTTTACGCCAAGGCTTCATAATTGCTTTCCTAGGGGATTTTAATAGACTCCAAATTGCTCTGTCTGCATCTGCTTTGTGCCTCTGGTCTGCTCTGTGTCCTGCATGCGGTCTGGCACTCAGGCCTTGTTCCAAACAATTAGCACTTCCCCATCCACCAGTGTCTCAGCACATGTGTATCAGCAAGTTTCCATGTTGAAAACAAAGTCCTTGTATTACAAGTTTGGACATCAGACCTTACATGGTCATCTCAACCTCTCATAATGCATAGCTTCTGTCCCCTGGGGGAAGAGGTGGTGTCCCTCGCTATGGCGAATTCCTTCCCCAGAGTCCAGATTGCACCTTTTCATGGACATTCCTTCTTCACTTATATTCTGCTTGTTTTGTAAATTCTTTCTCGGTACGAAAATATGCTCAAGTTCCTTACACTTGAAGAAAATGAAATAAATAAATACTCATGGCTCACAATGTATTCATATATTTATTCACATTCTGTACACTTAATTGGTTACATACTTCCTTTCTTATATAAACAATGATGCTGTGGACATTCCCGAATATTCATCTTTTACGTATGTAGGAGCATTTTTTTCATAGTATTTCTTGGAGTGAAATTACTGGCTATGCAGAAATTATAGGCTATGCAGATGTTCAAGTTTGCAGGATCATTTTCATTGTTTTGTAAGTGAGCCTCTGCCAGTTTCCATTCCTCCAGGAATGTATGGGAGGTCTCATTGATCCATATCTTATCTAATATTTGATACTGTAAAGCTCCTTAATGTTTGATGATCAAATCGACACAAAATAATATATCTTGTGTTCTTATTTGCGTTTTCCTCATTGCTAATACTTAGCATCTTATAGGATTTTTGGCCAACTTTTATTTTCTTCTGTGAAATGTCATTTCATGAAAATTGCCTGTTTTCTGTTAACTTGTTTGCTTTTCTCTTTTTGGTTTGGTTTTTGTGCATTTCAGATGCCTACCTTTTATCAGTTATATTTGCTGCAAGTATATTCGTTTAGATTTTAAAAATTAAAAAAAAGTATTTATTCTCTGGAGTATCTTTTGTTGAATAGAGGTTTTTATTTTAGTGGTCTGATTTATGACTTTTCTTATAGGGATAGTGATTTGTGTCTTATATAAAAATGTTGCTTTACCCCAATATCGAAAAGATATTCTTATTTATTTTATTCTAAGTGTTAAAACTTGGCATTTTACATTTAAGTCAGTATCAACCTGAACTTGATTTTGTGTATAGAATGTGATGTAGTTATTTTCATTCCCCTTGTGGGTAAACACTTTTTCTTAACTCGTTTTCTTAATAGTCTCCTTTTTACCACTGAGCTGCTGTTCCTCCCCTGCCATCTACCAAACCTCCATTTGTGAGAGTGGATTTCTGAATTCACCATTCATTTTTTATTGCCATTTTGCACTGAATGCAAATACAGATCTCTGTGCCAGTACCGCTCTGCTTTGTGACCCCTGTCCCTCCCGGGAGTGGCACTACTAATCCCCTCTTGTGACCTAAGTCAGAATCTCAGGAATCAGCTCCCTCTACCCTCATCTTTCCCTACATTCTCATCAGCTCCACCCTCAGTTCCTTTGTACTTTCTGTCTCCTAAGGCCATGGTGCTCTTTGTACTTTCTTTTTGAATCAAGTCCTTTGCAGTCAGTAAGTCTCTCTTCATTGCGTACCTCCTACTGGAAAACTCCTCTGATTTCTTTCTACCCAGGGTTAGCCCAACTCAAGGTTAAGGGACACAGTTTTGCAAGACTACTAAGTCTATCCAAATCCTCTAATTCCAACTGCAAGTTCAGGGATTTCCCAAAAGTACCCTCAGTTTTCATAATTTGTTAAACTTCCTAAAACCTATTATGCTCACAGCTATGTTTATTGCAGACAAAGGATACATATTACAAGAGACATGGAATGTGGGGCCGAAGGGGTTCCAAACACAAAGCTTCCATGTCCTCAGGGACTCGTCATCCATCCAGCATCAGTCTATGGTGATATGTGCACAAAGTATTGCTGACCCAGGAAACTCATCGGAGCGCCGGTATTCAGTTTCATTGAGCTTCATTACATAAGCACTATTGATTGAATCATTGCCCATGTGGCTCAGAGCCATAGTCTACTCACTAGTTGATCTTTCTGGTGAGGCTAGCCCTTAACCAGAGTCATCTCTTTAGAACAAACTACCTAGGGGCCTATAATGAGTTACCTTTGTGTAAATATTCCATCTGGCATTGAGGAGGTATCTCCACTCTAGACCCTGTCTCCTTATCCAGCCTCTCTACCTGGTCTCACTTTCAAGGGGTCAAGAATCCAAAGACCAGAAAGAAAGAAATTACAAGAGATAACAAAACAGTAGATATTAAGGCACTATTTATAACTTCATTTTTTTCACTGAATCAGTGATTTTGTTTCTTCTATTTAACATTACTAACAGACCCTTTCTGTTTGTTGGATTTCTTTCAGATGACAAAGGAAAACCCAAGACTTCAGAACCTACCACTTGTAAGGCAGCCTTACCTGAGGGAGTCTCACTCCAGGGACAACTAGCAGAAGGAGCATCAGGGGAACTCCAGTTGGGGCAAGCCAAGGATCAGAATGGGCCATGTGAAATGCAAGGAGGACACCAGAGATCAGGGGTAGATCCCCAAAAGGAGAACCTTCCTGGGAAAATAAGCTCTGAACATGATAATTTAGGGACAGCTGATGGTATGTGTTCAAGGATTGTACAGGAGCAATCCTCTTTAGGAGGTGCTGTCTATGACCGTGACTCACAAGGATCGGGTAAAGATCCCATGCTTCAGGAAGAGGAAAATATCTTTAAATGCAGTGAATGTGGAAAAGTGTTTAACAAGAAATGCCTTCTTGGTCGGCATGAGAGAATTCACTCTGGAGTGAAGCCCTATGAATGCACAGAATGTGGAAAAACCTTTAGCAAGAGCACATACCTCCTTCAACACCACATGGTCCACACTGGAGAGAAACCCTACAAATGCATGGAGTGTGGAAAGGCCTTCAACCGCAAGTCACATCTTACACAGCACCAACGGATTCACAGTGGAGAAAAACCTTATAAATGCAGTGATTGTGGAAAGGCCTTCACCCACCGCTCTACTTTTGTCTTGCATAACAGAAGCCACACTGGAGAAAAACCCTTTGTGTGCAAAGAGTGTGGTAAAGCCTTTCGAGATAGACCAGGTTTCATTCGACACTATATCATCCATAGCGGTGAGAATCCCTATGAGTGCTTTGAGTGTGGCAAGGTCTTCAAACATAGGTCATACCTCATGTGGCACCAGCAGACTCACACTGGGGAGAAGCCCTATGAGTGCAGTGAATGTGGGAAAGCCTTTTGTGAAAGTGCAGCCCTGATTCACCACTATGTCATCCACACTGGGGAGAAGCCCTTTGAGTGCCTCGAGTGTGGGAAGGCCTTCAACCACAGGTCATACCTCAAGAGGCACCAGCGGATTCACACTGGGGAGAAGCCTTATGTGTGTGGTGAGTGTGGAAAGGCCTTTACCCACTGCTCTACTTTTATCCTGCATAAAAGGGCCCACACTGGAGAAAAACCTTTTGAGTGTAAAGAATGTGGAAAAGCCTTTAGCAATAGGGCAGACCTCATTCGGCACTTTAGCATCCACACAGGAGAGAAGCCCTATGAGTGTATGGAGTGTGGAAAGGCTTTTAACCGCAGGTCAGGCCTTACAAGGCACCAGCGGATTCATAGTGGAGAGAAGCCTTATGAATGCATTGAGTGTGGGAAAACCTTTTGCTGGAGCACAAACCTCATTCGACACTCCATCATCCACACTGGAGAGAAGCCGTATGAATGCAGTGAATGTGGAAAGGCCTTCAGTCGCAGCTCATCCCTCACTCAGCATCAAAGGATGCATACTGGCAGAAACCCTATCAGTGTACCAGATGTGGGAAGACCTTTTACAAGTGGGCAAAACTCAGTTGACATTCAAGAACTTTTAATGGGAAAAAACTTTTTGAATGTAACCACGGAGGAAAATCTTTTGCAGGAAGAAACATCCTACATAGCATCTGATCATGCATACCAAAGAGAAACCCCACAAGTGTCTTCACTGTGAGAAAGCCTGTTACAGAATATCACTTGTCACCTAAGGAGTCATATTAGAAATTCAATCAGTTTAGAGCCTTATTTTCCATCTAAGAATTCACCCAGGAGAAAGATCCAGTGGTTATCTGTGCCCTTAGGAAAATATTTAGCTACATCTTTCTCCTTAGTTTACAGTGCAATGTTATCTCAGGAATTTTTACAAAAAGGAGGTGACAGAAAAAAGAAAAAGAAATACAAGTACTGCTTCTTTCATACTACTCTTGTATATGTATTCATTGCTATCCAGTGTCAGGAAAGTTAGACAGTTGAGGACAATTCTAGAATCTTAGTGAATGTCGTCTTTGTTGCACAATATTGTCTATCCTCTCTATCCTTGAGCATACTTTTTTTGAAAAATATGAAGGCTTGAGTTATGAAATACTTTCATATCACATTTTATTGCACCACTTAAGACTGTTGAGGTCTTTACTTTTTAAAAAACCCTTTTTTTTTTGCTCAAAAAACTGAAATCTGTAAAAAAAAAAACTTTTTAAAATGTGGTTCTTAGCATCTAACACTCAGAATTTTTCTTGATTACCATCTATTGGTTTACTTGAGTGCTATAGCTATATGGCAATCTCAAAATTGGGTAATGTGATTTTTTTCTCTTTATGCTTTTTATTTAAAGTGATTTAGCATTCCTAGTTCTTTTGACTTTCCATATATACTTTGGGATTAGTTTTGCTGTTTTCACAAAAAAATTCTTGCTTGGATTTTGATAGAAATTAAGTTAGATCTGTAGATCAGTATGTCAAGAATTAGCATTTTTACTATGTTGAATCTTACAATTCATGAACATGGCATAACTTTTTATTTATTTAAGTATTCCTTGATATATTTCATTATTGTTTTATAATTATACACTATAACTCCTGTACATTTTTCATTTGATTTACATGTTCATATCTTTAGTGATTGGAAATGGCATTGATAGTTAAACATTCAGTTTCCACATGATGTTTGGTAGTATTCAGAAATATTATTTTTTGGACGTTTCGCTATCTTCTGAACTCAGTTATTATTTCTAGCCATTTCTTTTGGGAAAAGTCTTATGATTTCAAACATAGAGACGTCATCTGCAAACAGAGATAGTTTTATTTCTTGTTTCCCATCTGTATACCTTTCCTTTTGTTTTGTTTTATTTTGTTAATGCAGTAGATAGGATTTCTAGCATGATATTGAATAGAAATAGTGAGAAGTCATCCATGCCTTGTTCCTGATATTAGAGGGGAAATGTTAAATTTCTCATTAGTATAAGTTTTTTACATAAAGTTTCTTTATCAAGTTTAGAAAGTTTCACTCTAGTCCTAATTTGCTGATATTTTTGTTGTTATTAATAAGTGTTGGATTTTGTCAAATGCTCTTTCTCCATCAATTGATGTAATTCTATGATGTTACTTCTATAGTCTGTTGATATGATGTATTGAACCAGCCTCACATCCTTGGGATAAATTCTACTTGGTCATGGAGTATAATTTTGTTTATATATTTTGTTATAGTATTCCATTTGCTTGTATTTTGTTGAGGAAGTTTTCTTCTAATTTCATAACTGATAATCTGTAGTTTTCTTCCATTTTCTTTGAATTGTTATTATCCAGTTTTGATGTCTAAGTGATACCAGCCTCCCAACATGAATTGAAGAGTTCAATTCTATTTTTTGGAAGACAGTGTATAGAATTGGTGTTATTTGTTCTTTTAATGTTTGGCAGCATTCTCCAGTGAACGATTTGGGCCTGGAGATTTTTCTTTTGGATGATTTTTAATTATGTATTTATTTTATTTAATAGAGAACTATTCAGAGTATTTCATATTGGATGACCTTTTATAGTTCTTTTCAAGGAATTATTCCATTTTATGTAAATTTTCTAATTTGTTTGTAGCATTGTTTGAAATATTCCCTTATCCTTTTGATGACAGCAGGATCTGTACTTATGTCTCTTGCTGTATTTTTAATATTGGAAATATATCCATTTTCTTATCTTTTTAAAATTTTTTAGACATTTATCAGTTTTGTTGCTCATTTCAACAGAATTGATATAAAGAACCACCAGCACTTTATATCACTGATTTTTCTCCACATTTCTGTTCTTAATGTCACTGATTTCTGCTCTGATCTGCATGTATTGTATTCTTTCCACTTGCTTTGGTTATTTTTGACTCTTAGTAATTTCTTGAGGCAAGTGTTTAGATTATTGATTTGAGGCTTTTTGCTTTTTTGATGTAAGCTTTAACTTGTATAAATTTACCTCACAACATTAGCTTCATCCTACAAGTTTTAATGTTTTTAATTACATTTTATTCAATTTGAAACTTCTTGATTCCTTTTGCGACATCCTCTCTAACCTATGAATTATTTAGAAATATATTGTTTAATTTTCTAGTGTTTGGAGTATTTCCTGCTATCTGTTTGTTCTATATTTCTAATTTGTTTCACATTTGATCTTACTGTTTAAATTAGTTGACTTTTTTTTTTTTTTTTTTTGACCCAGGATATGGCCTATCTAGTATAGCTGCTTGGAAAGAATGTGCATTCTGCTGTCACTGGATGATGTTTCTGTAAATGTTTATACAATCCTGTTGGTTGGTGGTGTTATTCAAGTCTGCTATCCTTGCTGATTTGCTGTCTAGTATTTCTGTTAATTGCTGTGAAGGGGTGTTGAAGTCCTGAACTGTAATTGTGGAATTATCTGTTCCTCCTTTAAGTTCCATCAGTTTTTGTTTCACATGATTCAAAGCTCTGTGGTTTGGTGCATATACGGATAGGTTTGCCAAGTCTTCTTGGCATATTGCCCCTTTTATCATTATATAACGTCCTTGTGTGCTCCTGTTAATTCTCTTGGCTCTGAAGTATACTTTATTTGATATTAATATGGTCACTTCTGTATTTTTTGGCTAATGTTTGGATGGTTTATATTTTTTCATCATTTTATTTTAAACGTTATGTCACTACATTTTAAGTAAGTTTCTTATGAACAGGATATACTCAGGTCATGATTTTATATTCATTTTTCATATTTCTGTTCTTTAATTGGTATATATAGACTAAACTTAAAATAATTATTGATAAGTTAGTGCTTAGCCTGCTGTTTCATGATTTGATTTTTTTAAAATTTCCTATTTATTCATTTTTGTTTTGTTTTTGTTTTTTGGTCTTCCTATAAGTTCAATGTTTTTTAGAATTCCATTTGATATATCTGTAGTGTTTTTTAGTATATCTCTTTGTATTATAAATTTTTTAGTGGTTGCTCTAGATATTGCAATGTGCATGTATAACTTGTCACAGTTTAATGATATCAACAATTTAGCACTTTGATATATAGAAACCTTACTTCCATTAGGTCCCTTTACCTTACCTATTAATATAATTGTCCTAAGTAGTTCCTCTTCAAAAAATAAGTATTATGTTAGAAGATGTACCTTTTGCTTCATTTGTCAAACATTTTACAAAAGCATTGTCTGCTTCTTTATCCATTCCATTGTGTTTTCTTTTTACTTGGAATCACAAGTCCTCTTCTGTTAACATTTCCTTTCTATTTGGTGAACTTCCTATAGCTTTTCTCCTAGGGTAGTTCCAGTGACAGATGGTCTTTGTTTTTCTTTCTCTAAAACTGTCTTTATGCTTCATTTATTCCTGAAGAATATTTTTGTGGGATATAAATTTTAAGGTTAGCAGTTTTTTGAGAAACATGCCTGTTTATTCTGTCTGCAATGGTTTCAGATGAGAAATCTGCTACCATTGTTCCCCAAATTGTTGTTTCTGATTTCATAATGCGTTATTTCTCTCAAGCTGTATTCAAAGTTTTTTTTTTTTTTATTGTCTATAGTGTTCAGAAGTTTGATTATGATAGATAAGGCATGGAATTTTTTGAGTTTATTCTCTTTGCTCTTTGCTCAGCTTTTTGATCTGTAGGTTTGGCCTTTTGCCAAATTTGGGCAATTTTCAACCATTTCTTCAAATATTTTTTCATCCCCATTCTTTCTTCTCTCTTTCTGGAACTCCAATAATATGAATGGTAGATCCACAGGTCCCTTATGATCCCATTTCTTCTTCCAGTCTATTTTCTCTGTTTTTCATATTGATAAATTTCTATTGGTGTTTATTCAACCTCTATGATTCTTTCCTCTGTCATATCAAATCTACTGTTGAGTTTATCCAGTAAGTTTTCATTTTTGTTTTTGTGTTTAACAGTTCTTTAATTCCCATTTGGTTATTTTGTACATCTTCTGTTTCTTTAGTTTTCTGTTGGTTTGTCGTGATATTTGGATAGAAATCCTAAATTATCTGAAGGAATGGAAAGACCTGTAGTCTTTTCTATTGGCATCCTCAAATATTTTTGTGAACAGGTCTTATATCTGAGGGTGGTAGGCAGATCATTCAGAGTTGTGTTCTCTAGGGCAAGTTTGTGGGTAAAATTCCCAAGCTCTCTAAGCCTTGTTGTGTTCTCTAGGTGAAGGGTCCCTTCTTGTAAGATCACCCCTACCCTTTGTTGTTGGTTATACATACCCCTCCCTGAACCAATTTGTCTAGGCTGTCTTTTGTACTCAATTGTTTAGTCTTTATTTTTTCCTTATTAGTCACCTTCTTTCCCATAACCTATAGCTATGTTCAAATCTCAAGCTTCATCTCCAGCCAGTTTCTACCCTGCTTTCCCATTGGTCTCTGCCCATTCCTTTTCTTTCTTTCCCTCACAGACATGCCCTGTGTAACTGTTCTGTTAACTACCTGTCCCCAGCCCCTCACATCCCTTTTATTCCACAGACACTGCTGAATGGCTCCCACCACTGTCTCCTGACTTGAGCAGGTCTCACAAAGGTCCCTGTTGACCCCCTCATCTTCCTTTTGGGACCTGTGTGCTACCTATGTACTGCTCCTCTCTGTCTTAAAGGTCATTTCCTGGCTTCTGTGAATTCCTTTCTCTTATATAGCATTGGTGTCTTTCTTCCATCTATTAAACAATTTTACTTCTCGGGATCATGACTGTT